TGGATCTTTACCTTGTGTAGCAATGTAAGCTCTGTGTCTACAATATCCCTGTATGGTAGTTTAAAATTCAATATTTATTTATAAATTATTAACGTACAGAAACATATGAAGCATTAATGTAATTTGATCCTTCTTGTCCTTTGATTTCAACCAATGGAACAATATTATCATCAACTATTATATTTGACAATTATACAATAATAGTGTTAAAAGCAATGGTACTATAAACTCACATGGGCTGATGTTTTGAAACCTGTTCTTCAGTGCATGACTTTTAGCTATTGAGTCAGATTTTGATGGAGCTAATGTTTCAATGTCCTATTATGTTAAAATTAAGTATCAGTTATTATTATACAATTATTGTTATTCTCACTTCATATTCATCTTCTATTTCTTTTTTTGAGCTTTTAACAAAAGAAGGGAAACTGTTAATGGGCCTCTTGTGTGTACTAGCACTAGCTTTAACATTTTGATAGAGAGATTCTATAGGAATTATAAATTATTTCAGTATACTGATTAAAATTGGCTCGCTTTAAAAGTGCTCATAAATCAAAAAATATTTGTCAGAATCAGCTCAAACTTTCTACATAGCATAAGTACATCAATATGTATCAGAAAATGTAATAAAAATTTGGGATGATTTTGGAGCCATTTTTGGAAAAAACTATGGGCTATAGCCTTGGGTATTTTTCAGAATTTTGGCGTTTTCTTAAAATGGCCATAACTTGAAAAATTAGAGTAAAAATTAGCTCAAACTTTCTACACAGCATAAGTACATCAATATGTATCAGAAAATGTAATAAAAATTTGGGGTGATTTTCGAGCCATTTTTTGGAAAAAACCATGGGCTATAGCCTTGGGTATTTTTTGGAATTTTGGCGTTTTTATAAAATGGCTGTAACTTGAAAAATTGGAGTCGGAATTAGCTCAAATTGTAATAAAAATCTGGCTTGATTTTGGAGCCATTTTTTGGAAAAAACCATGGGCTATAGCCTTGGGTATTTTTCAGAATTTTGGCGTTTTCTTAAAATGGCCGTAACTTAAAAAATTGGAGTCGGAATTAGCTCAAACTTTCTACACAGCATAAGTACATTAATATGTATCAGAAAATGTAATAAAAATTTGGAGTGATTTCAGAGCCATTTTTTGGAAAAAAATCACGGGCTATAGCCTTGGGTATTTTTCAAAAATTGGCTCATTTTAAAAGTGCTCACAATTTGAAAAATACTTAGAGGGTGGGACCTAGCTATGCTTGCAAGGTGGTGAAAACAATCTTAGGAATATTATGATATATAGTTAACCTTCAGTTAAAGTTAGTGCATAGGTCTCAGTGATATCAGTATCTTCTTTGGTAAGCTCTCTTGAGAATGTATACAATTCTTTACTCTCTTTCACCCCTGATGGTTTTAGACCTCGAATCTTCAACCAACTAAAATAATAATCATTAACATTAATAACATTCTATTATTAGACGACTTACCAAATAATTAATGCAATCACACCAATTATTACTAAAAGAATAATTCCAAAGAATATAAAACCAACCACAACTGGTACAGCTAAGGCTTCTACAGAATATAAAATAGATCAAATACATCAATAATTAATTATTGACAAACCTGTAACAATAATAGTATTGTTAGTCATACTACTGTTTTTAATAAATGGGTTACCATCAGCAGCACTGAGGTATGATTCACAAGTATATTCTTCATTATTGACATCACTCAATTGATAGTCAAGGCTGACATTAGAGAATTTATTTTTAGTTGATTTTGATTCTAATAACACTCCATTATGCTTCCATTCAATGTGTACTG